AGTACTAGCGCAGGGAATAAATGAGTTTATCATGGGTTGACGACTTACAAGCTGCAGCACTACTACAGTTGCCAGCTCCCCTGTGCTATGCTGCTGGTTTCATAGGGCTCTAATTAAACAGAGAAGGGAGGATCAAAAGCAGTAAAGGTCCTTGGGAAAAGCTGTGCGAAGTCTACTCCCACCCCATCCTTGATGGGTTAGCCAGCACTGTCTAGCTGCAATGATAGACGACCTTGTTCCCTGCAGCCCGGCACACAGCCTCAGCACCTGGCATTGTGGGGAGGGGTGGAAAGGAGGCCCCTGCATAGCTAGGGAAGGGAGGGGAGTGCACCACAAGATGGAGTTACTTTGGCTAGTGTTTAGGGGACAAAAGTGCAAAAGCTTTATGGGGACCCCCAGTGATTAAAGCAATAGGTAAGCTGCAAGAGGTCCGTGGCAGCATCTATACAGGTGAGTACGTATTTACAGCCCTCGGGGATGAGTCTGATGTGATGACAGCGCTCTGTACTTTCTCCTGGCTCTTAGAAGCTTCTCGATCCCCCTTCTGTGATGTGCCCTGAACGGCAGAGGGAGTGTTCTCTCTTCTAAGAGCCGGGCGCTGGGCTGCTGTGCTACAACGGTGCTCTACAGACTGCGGCAGCAGGGGCTCACTTCTACAACGACACAAGCGAGAGTACATATCCCCAACTGTCGTAGTTTGGGGGGTTTTTTTCAAGGAGAAACAATATTATACAGGACACATAATTTATAAGATTATTTATAATAGTCACCCAAAGAATCATGTACAAGAGAGTGCAGGAAATCTGTCCACACACTACAGACTAAAAGAATCCAGCTGAGGGCCTGGATCCCACGATAATGTCCTGCGTGAGTCCAGCTGAAGACCTAGAGCTCATAACAATGCCTCCCACAGGTCCAACTAGAGCCCTAGAGCCCATAACAATATCTCAGGCAGGCCTTTTTCACGGATCTGCTGCGAAGGCCCAAAGGTCAGTGGTGGAATCTAGGAAGTCTATGCCAGCGGGATGAAGAATCTGTACTAGCAGGCTAAGGGATCTGCACTGGAGCCAGGAAGTGACGCTCAAAATGAGAACCAGAGCTCCCCTGAAAAGTACCACAGCCATCCTCAGCAACACTGAGGTCCCGAGCACCTCTGATGATCAGGACAGCCAAGTTCCCATCAGGAAAGCCAACGCAACAATCTTCTCCAGGAGACTGAGCAGTGCACCATCTTCCCCTCCAGAGCCAGGAAGTGATGCTCAAAATGAGAACCAGAGCTCCCCTGAAAAGTACCACAGCCATCCTCAGCGACAATGAGGTCCCGAGTGCCTCTAATGATCAGGACAGCCAAGTTCCCATGAGGAAAGCCAACGCAACAAGCTTCTCCAGGAGACTGAGTTGTGCACCATCTTCCCCTCCAGAGCCAGGAAGTTATGCTCAGAGTGAGGACCAGAGCTCCCCCAAAGTGAACCTAAGCCATTCTCAGTGCCAACAAGGTCCCGAGCTCCTTGGAGGATGAAAACAGCCAAGTTCATCAGGAAAGTGAGCATGACGAGCTCCTCTGAGAAAACCAACAGCTCCTTACAGCTTCTGTCCACTTCCAACAGGCTCCCAGCAGCTTTTACCAGCTCCCAACAGCCTTCTTTCTTCTTCTCCACTTCTGCCTCTTGTGCTGCTGGCAACAGTCCCCAGGGGGGCCTCCCACACCCAGCACCACGCTTACTCAGTTCAGCTGGGGGTTACAAGGTGGCCACCAGTTGTCAGTCCACCACACCAATTAAGTGTGCTTGTGTCAGGATTCTTTTACATGTCCCTCACTTATGTTATTTAAAGGAAGGTCTCACTCTGGGTCTTCCAGGGTCCTCATAAAGTTACTCCAATTTTGCGGGGGAGGGGAGGCAAGTGTAGCACATTCCAGGACATGCTCCCTTGACTAGAGAATTTCTCCACATACCCAGCAGTTGGACTTATTGGGGTTGCCACTGTGGTTGCTGCCCACTGCCAGAAGTTCCCTCTGACTGTGGTCAGTAGCAGCGGTGATCTGCGGATGCAGACACTAATGTTGAATGGCAGTTTCGCTGACACGTTATATCCATTTACCAAAATAACAGCAGTGGCTTCCCCACTCAGGCCTATAACTCCCTCAGCCGTAGGTTTTTGTCCTGACTTATAGGAACAAATGTGCCCCTCCCCTTGAAGAAAGCGGGTGGTCACACCCAGCTCTACCGTGTCACTACTGCACCAGTAGATACAGGCTGCCTATCCTGCTGGGCGTGTAACACGTAAAGGCCCATAGCCAAGCAGGACCATTGGAGACAGTTCTCTCCCAGCAGCCTGCATAACTCTCTCTAGCAATATGAATGCTAGCTAGTAGGAGGAAGCTTCCAGCTTGATTTTCAAATCAAGTCCCAACTTGACTTTCTTGTCCTGCAGCCAAAGTATGTAGATTCTTTAGCAACAGGGACTTACCATTCAGTTCTGGCACACAACCAACTGTAGTAGCAATAGTCTGTATGCTATGGGGGCAGAGACCTCCATGGCCAACCAGAACTCAGGCATATAGCCCATCCCTAGCACTGGAATTTTTGTTCAACAATCTGTGGCTGCTGGAAATACTTTTCTCTACTCACAAAAGGTGCCTTCATTTAAACTTTTTAACTGTTGTTTTAGCCTATTTTTTCTTTCAGTGAAGCCAGTCCCTGTGGAGTTGTAAGGCACATGAAAGTACCATAGCACTGATTGTCCTCAGCCCAATTTTACATTTCAGTTTCAGTGAAATGAGTTCCATTTCGCTCTCACTTCTTCACAGGCACCAGTACACAACATTGAGCTAATTAAGTCCTCCAATAGTGGCTTTCCTGGAGGCCCATTTACATGAGAAGTTACTGAAATACCCCCAGTGACTGCACCAATAGCTAAGCTGCAAGAGGCCCATGGTAGTATCCGTATAGATGAGTGTGTATTCAAGTGTGTATTCACAGCTTGCAGGGATGGGCCTAAGATAACCCGCCTACCAGTCTCGTGCCTAGACCACCCATTATTTTATTTCCCACGTCATTTGCACCCCTTTTCCTCACTGTTCACTTGTCTCAGTCACAGTTTAGGTAGCCCCACAAAACAGCCCTAGCTAACTGAGTAAAAAGCAGACTTGTGCGCCTGCCCGATGAGTGCACCTACCCTTTGAGGGTGTAACAAAGAGCGGGCCTTGCATGCCTGTGTACCAGGGGTTCTCAGCACCTGAGCTGTGGACCAGCACCGGTCAGTGGCCTTTTATTTTTTATTTTTTTTTTTTTGGTTTTTTCCGGTACCAGGAATTGAACTCACAACCTTGCGCTTGCCAGGCAGGCGCTGTGCAGCTGAGCTAAATCCCCAGCCCCAAAGTGGCCTTTTAGGAAGCAGGCCAGATAGCGGCAGATGAGAAGCAGGTGAGCAAACAATGCTTCCTCTACATTTATAGCCACTTCCCACCACTCACATTACTGCTTGAGATCTGGCTCCTGTCAAGGGCAACATGAGGAACACAGACTGACTGCAAAGTGCACATGTGAGGGATCCAGCTGCGTGTTCCTTAGGAGAATCTGATTCCTGATGGTCTGAGGTGGAGCTGAGGCAGTGCCGGGGAGCAGCTGCAAATACAGATTAACACAGAGATTTGACCACACATAGACCATAATAAATCAGTTGCTTGAAGATTCATATCAAAACCCTGTCAGTGAGTGGAAAATGACAATTAAGCTGCATCTGATGCCAGATTTTATAGTGGCAAGTGAATTTCTGTACATCAGTTTCATAGCTGCATTTAGTGGCAGGTTGTTTTTTTGTTTTTCTTTTTGAGACAGGGTTTCATTATGCAGGTCAGGCTGGCCTCGAACTTGTGGTAATCCTTCTGCCTCAGCCTCCTGAGTGCTGGGATTATAGGCGTTCACCACCACTTCCAGCTAGTGGCAGGTTTTAAGTCAGAATCTAACATTTATTTTAGTCACTCATGGACCACCCATTATTTTTTTTACCACTTATATCCACTCCTCTTTTCTTTTTTTTGGTTTTTTTTTTTCTGGTACCAGGAATTGAACTCACGACCTCGCACTTGCCAGGCAAGCGCTGTGCCGCTGAGCTAAATCCCCAGCCCCTAACTCCTCTTTTCTTTATCATGCACGGATCTCAGTCAGTTTTGGTAAGCCCACAACCTAGCCCAACCCAAATGAGTAAAGTACAAATGTCACTGGAAAGATTTTTTGTAAGGGGGAGAGATCCAATGATGAGACACCAGAAGACTCTAAGACTTCCCACAAAAAGAAAGCTGCTTTTAAAATAAAATGCCAAGAGTCCTACTTAAAGTATGGATTCATTGCAACAGGTGATTCACATTTTCCAAGCCTGCCTTGCACACTGTGTGGTAAACGACTATCTAATGAAGCCACAAAAATTTTAAGACTGTTTGCTGGACTCAGTCTCTGTGAGATTCAGAATCCAGACACTAGAACATAACAACTTGGGGAATGAAAGAAGAGGGACGTAGATTCCTGGGAACCAGAAAGGGTCTGACAGGAAAATTAAAAGCTACAGAGAAATTGAAGAGACAAAACTCAATGAAGAGAAGGGAAGGGGCGATTGGCACTTTCTCCCTAGCTCTAGGATCATGGCTGACAGGAAAGGGAGACTGGGTAATCGCTCAGACTGCTTCAAAGCTCAGGGGCATCTAAGGACACATGAGGACACGACCTTGCTGTCTAGCACAAGTGCACAGCGGGATATCGCCGTGTAACCATGACTTAACGGTGGACAGCTACACCTGCGCCAGTGATGCTAGCATGTCAGAATGTAAACGCGAGTTAACAACATGTATAAGAATTATACAATAAAGATGCAGGCTGCTCTTGTGCTCTTGAGCTCTTGTGCTCTTGCTCTGCTTGGCTGCCTGCTGCGGCTCTTGCTGATACCTGCCTCTGCGTGCTTTCTCTGGGGACATCACATATGGAAAACTCCTTCGTCCTTCTCAGCCCTGACAGAGACCAAATCTACGGAGACAAAGTGAAAGCCGGGGACTCCAGAGGGCTTCAGGGGAAACACGGCAGTGGCACATACCTGTGGGCGCTGTGAGCTGGAGGGAGGGCTCGGGATGCTGCTCCCACGTGAGTCCTTCATCAGGCAACAGCAGGTGAGTGACTCCAGTCCAAGTGCTCATCACATCATCTGGAGAAAGTTTGGTCAGATGCCATTCCAGGGAAGGGCTGATTGTTTTAATCCAGGGCTTAGAGTACCGGTGAGACAGCTTCAACTCAGGGATCCCAGTGTTATGTTTCCACAGTGATGTAGGGGGGACCAGCCATAGCCAGGGAGCCTTGATAAGGATAGAAAGAGGTTCCCTAAGGGCTTTAAGCTAAAACACACAAAACCCGCCCCACAGCCGGAGGCTAAAATCAACCTGAATTGCTCCAGATTTGAAAGTCATGGCATTGGCATTGTCAGGACCAGGAGCCCAAGGGAGATTTTTGTGAGTGAGATCCCCAGGTTAGATCCCTAGAACACACATGCAGTAGACATGAACAACACAGCAGTAATTCTTATACATGTCATTATCACATGTTTACATCCTTGTATGCTGCCTTAACTGGGGTGTGTGTGGGTGTCTAATGCTAGGTCATGATTATAAAAGTGAACAACTATGCCTCTCTGGAAATGTCAATAATGTCAGCAACAGTAATATTATCAAAGACAGACTGGATATTTACATACCCTAAAAAATAAAAAAAGAGCTTGCAGAGAATGTGCACTCATGTGTCGTGGGTTGCGGGAGTCCGCATTTCACAAATACCCTTTACCCATTCTACAGTTGCTCTCGTGAAATGGCGGCCCCTAGCCAATAACCGTTAGGCTGATTTGCAGATTCAGATTACAGATAAAAAAGATTGCCTTGTGGCAGCCTAAACAGCTTGGTAGCAATGTGCTCAGACATGTCTGAGGCAGTGCTAATCTGCATTTCATAAATAATTGCGCCCCATTTCCCAGTGACTCTCTCCAATGAACAACCGTTAGTCTGCAGAAAGATTTGGTTCCAGAAACAAAACCGTTGACCAGGGCAGGATACAGGAGTATGTCAGACACGCCTCAGGCTGCGATAGTCTGAAACTCACAAGTGCTCTTATTTCTCAGATCCTTATTTTATGGGCCACCATGGAGCCTTGCACAGCACAAAAAGGAGACTGTGACTGAAGCAACAAAATCTTCCTTCTTGCCCAGGTGTAATATCCTGAAACAGTGTACACAGCCAAGCCCCAGGCTTGGTAGTTGGTAATTTTAAAGTGTTCTTTGCCTACTTCATAGACAACGTCTTGTATTGGCAAGAAACATGCCGTTACACAGGTAGCCTGGGTGCAGATGACCACAGCCTGGGCCGTATCAGTGCATTTCCTTTTGGACTATTACATCTGCCTCGGGGCTATGGTTTTGTTTCTGGAATCACATTCTCCTTACAGCCTGTGTAGGGTCCATCGGCTGCCTGTAGAAGGGAGTGGCAAAACATGCTTAATTATTTTTCAACAGAGACCTCCAATTCTGGGCCACATCTGTGCACACTTCCATCAAACAGTTAAGCCCACCCCCCAGGACTGGTTTTGTTGGTGGTGTTCTGCTTTCACCTAACTATATGGTAGACCATACACTGACCACAGAGCAGTGGCTGGAAATGAGTGAATACCAAAGCCGGGTCACGTCTGTGCATAGTCCTTTCAGGCTGGCACACCTTCCTGAGTTCCACAGTTCTGTCACTGGAGAGATTTAACTAGTCGCCCATTGGTTGCCAATAGAGAAAGAAAAGAGTGGTTGTGATATGGATAAAGAGTTTTGAGAAATTCAGATTACCATACCTGGAAGTGTGTGTATATGCTTTTCAGCATTTTACACTTGCCCTAGGTCAATGATTTTACAGCTGGTGTCAGATTCTATTTTTGCACATGGTATAATGACCCATACAGGATAGTAGTGGCTGAGAAATGGGCAAAAAGCATTTGTGAAATGTAGACTACCATATAGTGGGACACATATGCACACAGTTTTTTGAAGCTCATAAACCTGTCCCAGGGCAACAGTTTTGTTGCTACAATCAGGTTCTACTTTTCAGAAGTAGATTCTGCCTCCACTAACTCCGTAATAGCCCATTGGCTGCCATTCCAAGAAATGGACTGAGTAATGGATAACCAGCGTTTGTGAAAAGCACACTACCACAGCCTTGGGCATGTCTGTGCACATTCCTTTGGGGATATTGTACGTGCTCAGGTCAAGAATTTTGTTCCTGGAGTTAGATTCCTCAAACAGCCCAAACTGTGTAATGGTCTATTGGTATTCATAGAAGGCAACGTCTTTTGAATGGGAAAGATCGTATTTGAAATGCAGTCTACCGCAACCCAGGACATGTTTGTGCATACTCCTTTCAGACTATTATACCTGTGCCATATTTAAGGTTTCGTCACTGGAGTCAGAGACTCCTTGTCAGTTTAAATACTTCCAGGTCACCTGGCTATCCATTCAGGAGGGTGTGGGTAATAGGCATTTGTGAAATGCAGGCTACTGATGCCAGGGGAAGTCTGTGCGTACAACCTCCAGGCAATTACGCCTGCTCCTGTCATCAGGTTCTCCTCTTCAACCTACGTGTAATTCCAGATTGGCTGCTCGTGTAAAGGGGTGCCCCTGAAACAGGTAAAACACTTTTCTGATACGCATAGTACCATAATCTGGGCCAGGTCTGAGCAAACACTTAACAAGTTAAGAGTAGCCTGGGCAAACAATTCTGTTGCTAAAGTGAAACTCTACTTTTCAGGCTACCTGTGTAATGGCACATTTCTTGCCAGTACAAGAAGTTGTCGGTGGAGTAGGCAAAGAACATTTTTAAATTACCATCGACCAAGCCTGGGGCTTGTCTGTGTACACTTTCAGGATATTACACCTGGGCAAGAAGAATGTGCACAGATGTGCCCGTGCTGTGGTGGTCTGAATGTTACAAATCTTCTCTACCCATTTCACAGACCATCCCTTGACATGGCAGCCAGCTTTTCAACAAACAGTTATGTTAGTAAGTAGATTCTAGGGGCTGGAGATTTAGCTCAGCGGCACAGCACCTGCCTGGCAAGCGTGAGGTCGTGAGTTAGATTCCCGGTACTGGAAAAAAAACAAAAACAAAAAAAACAAAAGTAAGTAGATTCTGACATTAGCGTCAGAACTTCATCCTTGTGCAGACTTAGCTGTATGGTAGGATTGTGCTCATACATGTCCAGTTCAATGATTTTTTGCATTTCAGAACTGCTCTTTACCCATTTTTCAGCCCCTCGCATGGATGGGTTTTTATCTAGTTAGGGAAAAAGGCAGAGTCTGTATCCAACAATGAAATATTTGACCTGGGTGTAATAGACCGGAAGAATGTGCACGCACATGACCTAGCTAGAGCGCTCTATATTTCACAAAAGTCCTTTACCCATTTCACCGACAATCCTTGCATTGGCAACCAAGGGGCCATTACAGGGTTAGACTGAGAAGTAGATTCTGCCTCCACCAACAAAACCATTGACCTGGGGCTGGGGATTTAGCTCAGCGGCAAAAGCGCCCAGCTCAGCGGCCCAGGGCCCTGAGTTCTCATTCTCGGTACCAAAAAAAAAAAAAAAAAAAAAAAAAAAAAAAAAAAAAAAAAAACCATTGACCTGTGGCAGGCATAATAGCTTGATAGGGGTATGCCTAGGAAGTGGTAGTCTAGTCTGCATTTTGCAAGTAATTTCCGCATTTTACAACCAATCCCTTCTATGTACAGCCAATAAACTATCGCTTAATTAGGTCTGGGGAAGATATGATAGCCTTAAAGGGGAGGATGCACAGATATGGCGAAGGCCATGGTGGTCTGCATTTCGCGAGTGTTATTTACCCACTTTACAATTAATGTTTTGAATACCAGCTGGGTTTGAAGCATTAGGCTGAAAAGTGGAATCTGATTCCAGAAAAGAATCCACTTCACCTGGGGCAGGAGTAACAAGGCTGTTGTACTCTGTATTGAACGAATACTCTACCATCCTCGGTCTGTCTTGTACTGGCAGACCATGGGTCATCACACAGTTAGGCTTTAAAGAATATTTGACTGAAACAACAAAACTGTTGCTCTGGAGCATGTGTAGTAACCAGAGAAGAATGTGCACAGACATGACCCAAGCTGTGGTAGCCTTCAGCTCTTAGTCTGCCAAATCTTCTTATCTATTTCAACTCTACTCCCTTGAATTGCAGCCAGTTGACCTTTGTACCTTTAGGTTGAAAGGGATTATCTGACACCAACATAAAAACTGTTGACCTGGGCCTGGTGTTACAGCCTCAGAGGAATCTGCACCAATACTGCAAGTGCAGTCGTCTGGATTTTAGAAATATTCTTTACCCATTTCACACACAGTCATATTTTGACTACGGGCCATTACAAGGTTTGGCTGAAAAGTAGACTCTGACTCTACCAATCACTCTGACTCTACCAATCACTCTGACTCTACCAATCACTCTGACTCTACCAATCAATAAATCACTACCTAGGGCAGACTTACCCTGACAGGAGTGGGCTTGTACAAGTATGTTCCACCAGCCTCCCCACATACGATGTTCCTATAACCCTTTTCACTTCTGCAAAGTTGATAGTAATGACCTCAGGTGCAATTTTTAAAAATTTTAGTCATTAGAGTCTCTCCTCTCATGTTCTTGGTCAGTTTAGCTAAAGCTTTGTCAATTTTATTGGTCTTCTCAAAGAACCAATTTCTGGCTTTGTGGATTCCATGTTTTATTTTCTACTTCTTTTATCTCCTGTTCGCTTTTGGTTCCTCCTGCTGGTTTCAGGTTCATTTTGTTCTTTTTCTTCTTCTTTAATGTGTAAAGATAGATTGCTGATCTGAGATTGCTTTTTTTTTTTTTTTTTTTTTGTCTTTTTGGGACAGGGTCTCAGTACACAGGTCAGGCTGGCCTTGAGCTCATTTTGTCGCCCAGGCTGGTCTCGAACTCGC